CTCTACATGCACTCTTGATTTAAATGTATCTCTCCTTTACCAAAAACATAACCCTGGTGCAAACAGTAAGTCTTTCTCATGTTTATTCTTTGTGCTCCGGAAAATTTCTGGCACAATGGATTCCACAGGAATGTTTCCTAGGTGAGATGCATGTAGTCCCTGAGCTACCCTGAGAAATATCACTCTCAGAAACCTTCCCTCCAAAGCAGCAAGACTCACTCAGCAAATAACTTTAATTACTCTATGTCCTTGGAATGAAGCAGTTGGACTTTGTATCTAACCAACGTCTCTCCAATCTACCCAGATTAGTCATTAAAGCAACTCTGAAAGCACCTCCAAATTTGGGGAAAGCAAAGAAAGAATCCCAAGATAGGAGGAACTTAGGAGGATTGGTGTTCAGAAAGGGAACTAGGAAGAAGTAAAATTAAAGCCAGGTACTATACACTGAAGCAAGTTCAAATCAGATTGGCATCCCTAAAAACAAGCGAGATTTAACTACAGATGTTTATAAAGACATACATGCCTGCCCAATTCTACCCCCTTACTAAATTATGAATGTAGCATTGAGATTAAGAGCAAAGGCTATTGAAACACCTGGCTTTTAAAATCAGATTTGCCACCTATAAATTTTAGGTTCCACTAGCTAATCTGTGCAAACTCTCTAATCTGTATTACTTCCTAAAAATGAAGAGTTGTTTTGACTGTAAGTTTAACTATTTAAGGGTTTAACCTAATGCCTGAATAAAACGAGAGTGGTCACTAATAGCTATTACGAATGATCCCATCACTGGGTTGTAAGCCTGCAGAAACACACTTTGTCTTTCACAGAAATGTCTCCCCAGTTGCTAGAAAAGGTGTTTGGCTTTGATCATTTGTTTTGACTACGTGAATGCTTTACCTGTGACTAATGCAGCGATTCCATGAATCAAATATAAAATTATTATTTTAGACAGAACTCATATGTATTTCTTCCTATACAAACAGGAATAGCCCCTATGGATTGTCACATGTTTTTCAGCTAAGAATTTTGAGGTATGAGAAATGGACCACAGAAGAAAATAAGTAGACAAATTAAAAACCTCTTTAACTCTCATGTATTATATCCAATTCAGAAAAATCAATGAAAGGCTTGTGATTTTTTTCTATTCTCATTTTTAATGACCAGAAACAATTACTCAGTCAAAATGGCAAGTACTGAGAGGTCTGAAAGAGCCAGTCATGAAAAAAAAAAAAATTCATAATCGAATGTCCTTAGATAGCTTATCTTATTTTGTTCACTCAAGATTTTTAGAGTTCTATTTTGATCATGTGACCAATAGCATGCATATCTGGACCAGAAGCCTAAGTTTGGGACAATTGCAGCTACAATACATGCAAAGGTAATTATGAGATTACTTCAGGTTCATCTCTCCCCTCGGCACCATCCTTAGCAAGTGAGGCCAGGATGACACTGTCAACTGATTAAAAGGGTAACAATCACTAAACCACAGGCTACAATAGAAACCGAGGCCTTGAAAGGTTTTGGACTTCAGCAGTGCCACAGAACAAACTCAATTCTCCAGAGCCTAAGGGCTGCATGTGGTCTGAAAGCCCTGCACCTCAACGATCCACCTTTCAGGTCATGAATCATACACCAGAAATGAAAATGTTTTAGGTGCGCCCCTCATGTGATGATTTATCCCATCATGGCAATTGAATTGCACATTCCTTTAAAACTATGTAACAGCACGGGTTAGGGTTATAACAGCACAGGTTAGGGTGTCACCATGTCAGGCACCACTTTCATCTTAATCTTCACAACACAGTAAGTGGTAAGCTAGAAAATGAGCCATTAAGGGCTATAAATTACCGAATGAAACCTACAAAATGTGTACTAAGTATATATGTAAAAGTAGATTTATCTTCAAGTAGATGTAAGTTGAGTGTTGTCAAGCTGTACATGTGTAATTTAGTTGTATTTGATGTATTTCCCTTCATCTCATTTCATCAATGTTTAAAAAATTTATTTGAAAGATAGAGTAACAGAGAAAGAGATCATCATCCATTCACTGACTGACTTACTCTGCAAATGGTTCCAACGGCTAGGTCAAAGCCAGGAGTCTTTAACCGTCCCCCATGTGGGTGGTAGGAGCCCAGATATTTGGACCAGTTTCTGTTGCTTCCCCAGGCACATTTGCAGGGAGCAGGACTGAAGTGGAGCAGCTGGGACTGAAACCAGTTCTGATGAGAGAGGCTATCATTATAGAAAGCAGCTTAACTCACTGCACAACTCCACCAGCATCTTTTGTACGGCTCCAAAACACCACATTCTCTGGCTAACAGAACACTCATTTGTTAATATTCACTATGCATTAGATGATCCAATTATGCAATATGGCTAAAGAAATTTTGCTTACTCTTTTGTAAATCAGCCCATTTCAGCTAGCACTGAAATCTTTAAGGAGATTTATTATTGTCCCTGTATAATAATCCACTTGAGGAAGTCTTTCAAACTTTATTACACTAAGAATCTCTATAAAACTGAGCTGTATGTTCACACACTGTAATATTAAGGTATAATTTCAGGAAACTAAAGAATAAAATACTGCTTTAAAAAGTTAATGTGCAGAAATTGCGGGAAGTTTTATTATTCATAGGAAAGAAAATTTCAAATACTGTACAGTGAGCTGTGCTATAGGGACACTATACACTGTTAAAATACACTATTATATTCATCATTTAAATATAATATATAATCACAAAATCAGAAAATGATGGCTAACAGGCAGTGCCTTAAAGATGATTTAACATCTATACTATTTTATTAAGCAGTGAAGTACTTGCTACTTAACTCTTTCTAAATGCTTACACTATAACTGTTTATTTTTACATACTTTAAATTGCACTTTCCTCCAAAAAGTAGACTGTCTAGTTCTTGGCACTAATTTTTACAAATTGACTTTAAATTCAAGCAAACCTGAAAATACTGAAAACCTTTTCAGTCTTTTATTGCTCTACCACAGGCATAAAGGCTCAGGAAGGATTTCTGCATTGTAAAGAAAAATAGGCAATACTTTATATTGAGATACTAAGTAATTGATACAAGCAGAAAACAGCAACTAAAACTTTTTTTTTTACTAGTTTCCTTTTGTTTTACAAGAGAATAATCATTATATTATTATACTACAAAAGCATGTAGACTTCATAATTTAAAAATTTAAATGTCAGATATACAATGGCATTTTTCTCCAATAATTCACAATTTTTACAATTTCTGGTATTTGGGGACAAATATTAAAATTTCCACGATCATTAAATATGAACTGAAAACATCCAGCATCTTGAAGAATCAAGAACAGCAGAACTTGTAATTAATTTTATTACTTACATTGGTGACATATCTCCCTTTTGCTATTTTATTTCTTAAATATACATTTTACCTATTTTTCATGTAAATAGTTCTGGTTTGAAAATTTCTTAAATGAACTGTGAAGAGCCTTGAGGTTGTACAATTTTGCTAAACCTTTTGCTAATCTTGATAACGTTGAACTGTAGGATGCCTACCCATGTTACTTCAAAAATGTATCTAAACCTGTTTTGCTTTCATGGATATCTTAAGATGGACCTGCTTTGAGAACCAGATAACTCAAATTCTGCACTGAAGCATTTTTAGTATAAACCAACTGAATTACTGTTGATAAAATGAGGACAAAATTGTACTGATACTGAAACATTCCATGATACTGTCACTATATTGATCAATTATGTAATTACCGACAGAAGTTACATGTTTACCTTCTACCTAAAAGTTACTTGTGAGGCCTAAATATTTAGCAGGCAGTATTAGGAGGTAACTACGTAAAACAATACTGTCATCATTTTTACACGTAGCAGCTAACATGTGGTTTGTCAATCTCTTAAAAACCTGTCCTTAGAAGTATGTGAGTTGCTAGCAAGTGAATTCCCTGAGGTAAAAAGACTATATGCAAAGGTCACTGCACATCTCCGAAGAAGGGAAACATATCAGAACAGGGACCAAGAATCACAGATGCACTTCAAATCGATATCTTAATTGCAAGCAGCAGCCTTGATTATAAAAAACAAACTAAAAGTCATCTAGAAAGAAGCAAATTTTAGTCAATTGCATTTGCTACATTTTTCATGCGTTGGTCCTAACATTTTCCAACAAATATGTGAAAGATAGTAAAAGGGGAGAAGCTAGACTACATAGGCTTGTTCCTTAGTTCCTGAGTAATCATTCCCCTGGAGTTAATGTTATTCTCTTAATATTTGGCAGCATCTTGTCTTTCTCAATTTCAACTAGTTTTTCATTACTAGTATTTTGGATATACACCACTTTCAACTCTACCTAGGCTTTGGGTCATCAATTTAAACTTAGCGTGATTAACTACAGAACAAATTACTGCAGAAAAAAACTCAAAACTGTATTTCAATGTTCAACAGGACACTACAGTGCAAAAATAAATCATCAAGTCATAGTTACACTAGCAACTAGGGCTAAAAATTTTTTGGACACCTAGATGTGGCAATGTCATAAATAATAATTCTATAGTGATGCATTTGATTATAACCATATGGAAGGGCATAAAAACTGAGAGAGGGAAAGGGCATATAGCCAAGCAGGTAAGACACCAATTCAGATGCCAGCGTCTTGTGTAAGTTATCTAGATTCAGTTTCTGACTCTAGTTCTGACTCCAGCCTCCCACTCACTGCACATCCTGGGCCATCACTGCTGCTCCCCTTGCAGGAGACCTGGATTGCACTCTTGGCTCTTGGCTTCCACCAAGCCCAGCCTTGGCCATAGCAGCTATGTGGGGCAGTCAATTAGCAGACAGAAATCTGCCTCTGTTTCTCAAATACATAGAAAAGAGGGGGAAAAAAGGTTTGAAAAAACTGTTTGAAAACTTGTCATGATGATATGCCCACTTCACAAAAAAAAAAAATTAACTACTCCCCACCAGATTTCCACCTTGTTTAAAATAATTTCAAGAAATTCTTATCAGTTCTCAGAATCAAGCCTTTTATTCTTTATCAAAGGGAGAATCCAAACTGTTACTGTATTATCCATACCTGACTTCTAGAGACTATCCCTGTGGCCACAGAAACCAGTAAGTACTATCAGAAAGAAAGCCCATCTTCTAATGTTCACAAGTTCACATTCTAACTTATACTAAATTGAAGTATTTAATTGGGAGATAAAATTTACTTCTTGATACTTTTACTTGAATCCTGTAAGATTTGTCAGTTATTAACTAAACATACCAAGCCACAGGTGAAGAAAGTATTTGTTAGAGATGATTATATAATTGGGAAGCAGTTCATTTTTTTGCTCATTAAATATTGTTTTATCATATTTAAGTCCAAAAAAAAAAAAGGGAAAGAAAAAAGAAAAAACATTCCAATGGCTGAAATGGCCAAAAATCATAGTGGTTAGTGAACGGATATTCTTAATGCACAGAAGCTAGCTATATTAAGTGACAAATATTATTTGGTAGCTGCATCTCTTACCTTAGGCAAAACTAGTGCACAATGTAGAGATTCTAAATTTTCCTGCTATTTAGATACACAGATATTTAAAACTAAATTTCTAAATAGAAGAATGGAAACAAAATATTATAAAAGAAAGCGTGGCAAAAGCTATTTGGAATAATATATGTATATATCTTGCTCAGATGCTTTTGTAAAATGTCTGGATTCTCCAATCTTTCCTTTATTAAAAATGAAGTAGTTTGTTTAATATGAAGATACAGTTACAGATACTTTCATAGAAAGAAGCAAAACCTCTCTTATCTGAAACATGTTTATATCCTGTCTATATCCCTTATAAATCAACAGATAAAGATTTTTAAACACCTGATACACTTTCCTTTAGAACTGCAAGCACTTGTGCATCTGTTACATGTGCAAACAGAGACGGCCAGGCTTTGAATGCTCTAGGTAAGAGACTGTATTAACATACATCTTGTCTTTCATCCACTCAAATTCAACTTAATTTCGGCAAACAGTGGAGGAAGATGGGTTGAAATGTACAATTCAGAATACAGATTTGCAGAATAGGATAAAATAGTGCAATACCAATCTGATTGAACACTCTTTTCTTCAAGGAATAATGCATGAAAGCTGCTTCTCAAGGACACTGGCACTAAAGATTTGCTGAAATACACTATCAAGCAAACGCTGTTAGTCAGGTTATGATGCAGGAAAATACGCATCCAAATCCAAGTGAAGCAAACAAAGAATACCTTTTGGACTCTACTAAAGAAAGGAAACATTTTTGGCTCAAAGACACTTAGCATATACAGGCTTAAATACCATTGATCAAAACTGTAAAACAGTGTAACTTATCCATAAAGATAAATTCTTATTATATTTATTCTCTGTGAATCTGACAAACTCTGAAAATTAGAGATTAACTACTGCTACCATTATTTCTTTAATTTTCTACCACAATTTGCAATCCACTTTTCTGCAAGATTAAAAAAAAAAAAAAATTAGGTGATTCTTGACTAGGCCAGGACTCAACAACTAATGGTAACATATTATCAACAACAGAGCACACTACTGGTTGTGTTGGCTCAGACAGCAACATAACTGAATCACACTGACTATCATTCTAGAATAGACATTTTTCTTCAACTTTGCTCAAATCAGCAAATTGTATCGTTACACTCCATTTTCAAGATATTTTTTGCTAAGAATACTTATACCTGTGAATGTGTTCACATCCATGGAAATGTCAGAATCTGTTTAATGAAGCATTTTCTGTACTTTAAGATATAATTTAGTTCAACCGTCAGATTTACCTAAATCTTTTGACACATTAATAAATTTAGGAATGGTTATCTTGACAACATCAACATTAGCAAAATCTCACTTCCTCCCTGTTCTGGCCTTTTCAGAAATGAAGCAAATTCAGTAAGAGAATTTTCATGTTTGAAACATTAAAACTTTCATGGAATTAAAATGACAAAGAACTTCCAATTAACTACATACATCTATGGAGGAAACTCATCTCAGCAGATCTAATAACTAGCTTACAGGAACTCAGAGCCAGCCTGGGCAGCAGAATATTAAAAGCTATTGCCAATCACACACTGCTATCATGCACTGAATAACAAGATATAATCTCTGAATTACATACATACAAGATTTTTAATGACTAATCAAGTTATGTGGCCCAGCCAACAAATATTACATATTCACAATAAACACTGCCTTTATCAGCCTCTAACTAAATCAAGAGTGATCCATTGGCTCAGTTGTGTTAGCCATCTCGGCATCTTGACTATCCATCTCTTCAGGTTCTTCCACAGAATTTCCCTTTTGTGCTTCTGACCTTGTGGCAAGCTCTGTTCCCAATGTATCTGCCACACAGCTTTCAGTTGTTTCTGTATTCAAATTTTCAGTGCCACCAGTTAAAGAACAAGACTCAGTCATGCCAGTCTGAAGATTCCCAGAACTCCCAACTTCTTTTTGAGGAAGGTCAGATGGTAACTGCTCTGTACTTTGATCTCGTAAGTGTTTGTCCATTGAAGCCTGGATAGAAGAAACCATTTCCTGCAATTTTTTTCGCTGGGCCTCAACCACTTCAGGATCCAGCTTCCTGCCATCTCTGGTTGTGACTACCCCGGGTGCCATTCGAACCAGCTCACTGCTACCAGAAACAGACGTGAATGCAGGAGGCTCTGTTTTGGTGGCACTAGGACTAAAGTCTGTCCCTGTGTTATGCTTTATTTCTCTAGCTCTTGGATCAAGGTGTGGGCTACTGGATGCAGTTCCTAGAGAATGCCCTTTCCCCTGAAAGGCAGTTACATTATGAAGTTGTTCAGATTTCTTTTTCACTACGCCACCACTACCTAGTTTTAACAGCCCATGAGAGGGACTTGATTCTCTGCTTCTTGTAGTAGCTTCGGCTCGAACCTGACTTACAGCCTCTTTAACTAAATCTTCAACATCAGGGCCAATGGGGAAATGTCCTGCAGCATCCACACACAGCTCCAGTCTATCTTCAGAAGCGTTATAGACAAAGGTTTTGCCAGGTAGATGTGGGAAAGTACAATGTTTGCCATCAGCCATACCTAAAGGAAAAAATAATTAATATATTAAAATCTTCCTTATGGTATTAAACTAAAAATACAGTAAAGATAATTATACTTGAAATACAATTTTATATACTACCTTATAGATAATAACTTCAAAGTTTTTATTATAAAAAATTTACTGAATTATAAAAAATCATTACCATAGATTTTAAAGTAGCTCCCCCAGGCATCTATCTATCTTTCTTTAAAAAAAAAAACAAACAAAATTCCATATTATAATAGCACAGTCAGAAAAGGGGCTTGCAACAAACAGCCAAGCTATAAAAAAAACACAATAAGGACTGTTGTGGCAAAGTGGTTTAAATTGCTGCCAGTGATGTCAGTATCCAGCACGAACTGTTTCCAGTAAGGCTGCTTTACTTCACTCCAGCTCCTATTAATGTTTTTGAGAAAGCACTGGAAGTACTTGGGCCCCTGCCAGAAACCAGCAGACAAATGACAGCTCCTGGCTCCTGGCTTCAGCTTGACCCAAGCACTGGCTGATGAGGCCATGTGGACAGTGAGCTAGCAGACAGAAGACTTCTCACTCTGACTTCCTCTTTCCCTTCTGTCTTCCCTCCCTCTCTTTCCCTTTATACTTCTGCCTTTCAATCAATCAATACATCCTTTAAAAAGTGCAATGTAAACTAAGGACCCAAAACACACTTTTTATCTGCTAACATTCCAATTATAATTTTGAACAATTTCAACGGCAGGTAAATGTCAATAAAAATCCAAGTAGTGGCCCAGTGTGGTGGCCTAAAATCCTCTCCTTGAACATGACAGGATCCTATCTGGGCGCTGATTCTAATCCCAGCAGCCCTGCTTCCCATCCAGCTCCCTGCTTGTAACCTGGAGACCCTACACCTGCGTGGGAGACCCAGAAGAGCTCCTGGGTCCTGGCTTCAGATCGGCTCATCTCTGGCCATTGCGGTCACTTGGGAGGTGAATCATCAGATGGAAAACCTTCCTGTGTGTTTCTTCTTCTCTCTATATATCTGATTTTGCAATAAAAAAAATCCAGCTAGAATTTCCTCAACACATTTTCAGTAGAGATGGTTGAGAAAAAAAAGAAATTAAAGGGAGAAATAGTGTTAAATAGCACCTTTTCAGGTACACCTTGCAGTCAGTTCACTGCCTACCAATTTCCTTTCTCAGAGATATGTAAATGATAATTCAGCAAACAAAAATAGAATTTTATAAGGCTAGGGATGCTCAAAGTTTAAAAAAAATCTGTTTGAATAAATAAAATGACTGGGCCTTACAATGTGCCAGAAACTAAAGCAAACTGTAAAGGTTCAAAAATAAAATATAATAATTCTTAGAAGACCCTATATACAGGTAATTACAAATATAACAGCCTACCTTTAAATATGGCTTGATTACTTTATGTCTGAATTATTTTAGGATTAAATGAAAAAATATTCAAAGCACATACCAACTTGCCTAAGATTTAAATCAGACAGTAAATATGTTTTAATTTTTCTAATAATTGAAGAAAGGTTTTATAACTATTCCAAGGCTGCTATTAGGACATGCCTCCTTGGTTGTCCCTGGAAAGCAGGTTCCACAGACGCTCATCAAAGTATCATTCACAATGAAATATTGAGAATAATTTAAACTTTCAGCAAGAGAAAGTAAGCTATGACCTATCAACCTGATGGAATATTTTTTACCTCCTCTAATATAATTTATATAGGCCTTTGAATTTTAAGAATCAAGTTACATTACAACTCTTGTGTCACATACCAATAATTCTACCACTTATACTCCAAAAACACGTATCTTACAGCACAGCACAATTGCTCAATTGGCTAATCCTCCACTTCCAAATGCCGGGATCCCAAGTGGGCACTGGTTCACGTCCTGGCTGTTCCACTTCCCATCCAGCTCCAGGCTTGTAGCCTGGGAAAAGCAGAAGGATGGCCCAAAGCCTTGGGACCCTGCACACACACAGAGGACCTGCAAGAAAGTTCTGGCTCCTGGTTTTGGACTGGCTCAACTCTGCCCATTGCAGCCATCTGGGGCATGAATGAGCAGATGGAAGATCTTTCTTTTCTCTGTAAATGTGCCTTTCCAATAAAGATAAATCTTTTTTTTTAAATGTATTTTTATCATTTATGACTACATCTTTCCTTGTATCATAAAACCAGAATCTATCCAACCAAGACTCCATCAGCAGAACAATAGATGAATTCTGTTAAATTGATACAATAAATTAATATGCAGCAGTGAAATGAACTATAATTGAACCCATCAACATGCATGAAACTGAAAAATCTGCACAAAAGCAGCAAGTCAGGCAAGAATTTATGGAACATAAATATATTTTATAAAGTTTAAACACAAAGCTGAACATTATGTGACTAAAGGATATCTTCCCAAGTATTAAAGCTGCCATTTATCATGGCCTTTACCTCAGTATGCAGACCTGCAGAAAAACTTACTGCATTTTAATTTATACATTAATTTAAAACACTATTCCACATACAGAAAATAGGAATTCTAAAATTCAGCTTAGTTATAACAGGCAGTATTTCTAACAAAATGTAGATAAAGTCACCTACTGCATACAGTAGATTTTAATGAAAACAACTATATTGTACTGTTACTGAAAGGTACAAAGGATGAGTGGGACTTGATGTCTTGATTCTCTGACCAAACAATAATAATGATTTACTACATGAATCTATGGTAAAAATAGAACAACCTACCACAAATATGACAGGAAATTGTATTTTATGAGGTAAAACAACTTCTGGGGACAAATCATTTCAAATGTTGGTATACTAGCCCAAAGAAAGCAAATAATGTTGTCAATAATTGTAAAAACATGCACTAAGTACTTACTAAGTACCAGCGCCTTTGTTAATGGATGTATGCACATCACAATTATCCTGAAATTACTGAACATTTTACAAATAAAGAAACTGTGACTAAGATGTGCAACAGTGGAGTAAGAGCGCCTGAATGTGGTATCAAAATGCTCTAACTTCAGAGATCTAAACCATCTCCAAATACATGTTGATAATAATCTCACCTAACCTTCTTTTAAAACATTTGATTGATACAAGCACGTGAGTTATATTCATATAATTCATTCACTTTAATTGTATGACGCAGCACTTTGTAGTAGAGTTGTGCACTACACTTCTAGGAAGTTTTCATCACCTCAAGGGAAACCCTAAACCTTAGTGTTCTTTCCCATTTCTTCCTTTCTCATCCCTCACCCTTTCAAACTACCAACGTATTCTTTTTTAATATTAAATTTTTTTCTTTTATCTATTCCAAAGGCAGAGTGAGAGAGAGAAAATCCATCTGCTGGTTCACTCCCTAACTGGTTGCGATGACTGGGATTGGGAATTCAGGGAACAGCAGCTCCTTCTAGATCTCCCACACGGGTGCAGGAGCACAAGCTTTTGGGTCATCCTTCACTGCTTTGTCAGATGCATTAGCCAGAACCTGGATAGCAAGTAGAGCAGTAGGACTTGAACCAGTGCCCATATGAGATATCAGTGTTGCAAGAGGCAGCTTAAGCACGGAACAGACCCCATTTTCTATCTCTTTGGTTATACACATTTTAGACATCTCATTATGTGATCTTTCAAGAGTGGCATAATGTTCTCGTGGTTTATCATGATGTACTATGTACCAGCTCTTTGCTCCTTTTCCTTGCCCAATAATATTCCATCATGTGGTTATACCACATTTTCTTTACTCAGTAATCAACTGACTGGACAGGTAAGTTGTTTCCATTATTAAATTATTATGCATAATGCTGATGTTATGTTTTCCTTCCTTTTTGATATATCTTTAAGCATGAAATTGTGGGGTCATATAGTAGCATTTTGAGGATGAATCAGACTATTTTTCCCAATGACTGAGTCATTTTACATTCCCAACAGTTTATACGAGGATTTCAGTTTCTCTACATCCTTGCTAACAAGTTGTCATTTTAATTACAACCATGTTAGCAGGTATAAAGTACTATCTTATAGTTTGGTTTGCATTTTCCTAATGACTAAAAATGTTGAGCATCTTTTCAGCTGCTTATTGATAATTTATATATGTTCTCTTGAGAAATGCCTATTCACATCCTTCAAACAGTTTTTAATTGGGTTTTGCTTTTTAAAAGATTTATTTATTTTTATTGGAAAGTTAGGTATACAAAGAGAAACAGTGAGAAAGATCTTCCATCCGCTGGTTTACTCTCCAAGTGGTCACAATGGCCAGAGCTTAGCTGATCTGAATCTAGGAGCCAGGAGCTTCCTCTGGGTCTCCCACACGGGTGCAGGGTCCCAAGGCTTTGGGCCGTCCTCGACTGCTTTCCCAGGCCACAAGCAGGAGCTAGAAGAGAAGTGGAGTAGCTGGGATATGAACAAGTGCGCATGTGGGATCACGAAGATGCTAGGGAAGGACTTTAGTCACTAGGCTACTGAGGCAGGGGTAGGGAGCTATGCTTTTTAAGTCAGAAGAGTTCTCTGAAAATCCCAGATAAAAATCCTTTACTGAATACGTGGTTTGTGAAAAATTTTCCATTTGGTGGGGTTTTTTAACTTTCTTCTTTCTTTTGCAGCACAAACGTTTTATTACTATTTCTCTACTGTTTTCTTTTGTTGCCTGTTCTAACATAAACCAAGATCAAGATTTATGCCTATATTCTTCTAAGAGTTTTTTTCAGCTCTTCCACTTGGGTTTTTTTTTTTTTTTATCTATTTTGAGTTAATTTTGCTTATGGTAGGAGGAAGAGGTCAAACTTCATTCTTTTAAAAGACATGTGACTGGGTTCCGTATGATCGGCTAAAGTCCTCGCCTTGTACGTGTCAAGATCCCATACTGGTGCAGGTTCTAATTTTGGCAGACCCACTTCTCATCCAGCTCGCTGCTTGTGGCATAGGAAAGCAGTCAAGATGGCCCAAAGCTTTGGGACACTACAGCTGTGTGGGAGACCATGAGGAAGCTCCTGGCTCCTGGCTTCATCTCGGCTCATCTCTGGC